CCCGAGATTCGAACCCGGAAATCTCGACTGCGAGTTAAGAACGAAACCGAGTGTACTACTGGGACCCCTCAATTGAACATTATCAACCATGCCAGAATAAATTTCCAAGTACTCATCACCCTCAAAGTGCCTTTCAATATCGGTCATATATTAGGGAGAGGAGACTTTGCACTATGTCAAATATCAAGTAGTGAAGGCATTGGCTAAAAATCTCCAGTCAACCAAAAAAAAATATTGGGTTACATCTGATCTATTCAGGTAACTCGAACCAGTCACAAACGTAACCCTAGCTGCAAAGAAGAGCAACGATCAGCCAACACCAAAATGCATAGTCTAACTAAGGCACGGCTAGTTTTAACTGGCAACATCATTATCAAAGCCTTGCCAAATGAACGTTTAACATGGTAATGCGACTCCTCCCAACAATATTACTTGTGCAGTCGTCGAGCGGAGAAAAACCTTTAAGCAAACTGCACATACAATAAAGAAGAATGACATTTTATATTTAAACCGTTTCCTTTTTATTTTGGCAAAGCTACTGATTGATATTGGAAACTTTTGAACTGTGTAATGTTGAGCATATTATCAGTTGTGGTATATGGTAGAATATTGGTCTGATGTCGGTGTGAGGGTTTTAAGTGTGTTTAACAGTTTGCTTCCAAGAATTTTTTGAATACGAGTTTACTTAGACTAGTTTTAGTACAGTGCAATGCAGTCTTAATATATTGGTGTAAAAATTAAGATCTATCATCTTGATTCTCTAGTAACTACTAGACATATAGAACCATTTACAGTACTTACGAATATAATTTGAATTCAAGCTATCCCTAGTTATTCTGGATTAACTTTTCATTGCTGGAATGGTAACTCCATTTCCCCCCCCCCCCACTAGTAAAATTGAGAGCATTTGTTTGCTGCTGCTACACTGCAGCAAACAATTTAAACAAATGCAACAGTGTGTTGCATGCATGCTTGTTTGCTAGCTGGTCCACTTAAATATGCTTGTACACCAGCTGTCTTTGCTCTACCATAAAATGCAACCTAATTTCTTATAGGTGGCTAAAAGGGTATTTATTAGAGTATTATGTGTAGCATCTGATAGTACTTCAGATTAAATGGAATACTGTAAAAGTATTTCTAAACATTGTCTAGTCAAAATTGAATTTGCTAAATTATAGGACTTCATTAGAAGTGGGTTCAACAAAACTTTAGTAAAAAGGCAAAGAAGGTTGGTAAACTTCTTGCAGTATTGCCAATGAAGGTTTGGCTGAAATTACAATCTATAACAAAAAAAAAAAACTTTGCAGTTACCTTGTTAGTTTCTGGGATCAATGTACCGGCTGCCTGATCTCTGACCAGGCTTTTTGGTTGGTCTAGTTTGGTCATCCAGGCTGTTGGACGTGGGCCAAGGTGGCAAAGGATGCGACCATATAGGTAAATGAATAAATATTTGCCCAACCACTTGGACTGAATGGTAGAGCAACGGTCTCTTTCTTGCATATCCACATTCAATCGCTGACCATCCAAGTGGTTGGGCATCATTCCTTTCTTCCTATCCAAATACTCCTCCCTTGCAAGTGCTACATAGTTGTAATGGCTTAGTACTTTGTAACTGCCTTACCTATCTTGGTCAGTTTACTAACCACCTTACCTATCTTGGTCAGTTTACTAACCACCTTACCTATCTTGGTCAGTTTACTGCACTATATAGTTCCATTCAGCATATGTTTAAATTTTGTGGCTTTAGAACCATTAAGCGAGGCTTGGTTAGATTATTTTACCTCTATGGGAAAGTTTCTTTGTATCCAAATGAGCGTTGGATGAAACATTTAGCTTGGTAATGTCACCGTTGACCAAGATACGGTATCCACTCAATTTAACGGTCTTTTATTTACCGGTCTGCCAGTTCTAACGACCGGTTTTGGAGACCAGTATCTGGAGCCTCGGATACCGGTCTGGCGGTCGATAAAACAGAAGGTCGGTATTGGGTTTTTGGCATCGGCGCGCCCTCATGGCAAGCGGTCACCGACCTCAATCGTAAATTAAATCTTAACTTTCTTTTGAAATGACAGTTTAATGAAACAAATTATAAATATTTGGAAACTATTGTTATTAAGCAAAATTCTTTTTCTTATTAATACCTTTTATAGGTAATAGTATAGTATAAGGTATAGATATTTCAAGGTATAGTATAGGCACTAGGTATTTTTTCCCACGGACATAAATGTACTGTCGGGCCATGTGTCCTCATTGTTTGCTGTGGATTTGCGTGGCTAGCTTCAATTTTGAAGCACATTATCTCTGCCTAACGTGCTGACACTGTAATCATATTCAGACAAAAAATGATAAATTCGTGATTTCAACGGTCTGTGAAAAATCTTCGTCTACAAGCCATGTTGCACCCGCTGGGATTTCGACAAGTCGTTCAGCTTCCGGCAGAAATGAATGCCCTACAAGCCATGTTGTATCTGCTGATGCTGAATTCCCATCAAAAAGTCATTCAGCATCCGCTAACGATATAAAATGATTGAAATGCATGTAAATTAGGGTAAAAAGTGTTGATTGAGTACAGTATTATTAGTGTTTTGTGAATAGTGTGAATAATTAGTGAATACTAGTGAATAATTAAGGCTTGACAAAACGCTATACTGCACAGTGTAAATACAGAAATAAGTTTCACTTGTACAAGTGCATTACAGCTGTTGAGTCAGCATTTTTTTATTAAAGTGCAGTGCATTACTCGCACACGAATTAGTAGTAGGCTTGATATGTGAAGTGAATGCCTGAACATAAGTGTACATACTGTATAAATACATCCTGTATGTATAATGACCAGTACAAAAGTGCCACAGAGGATGATGTAATCTTCAGCTTCATAAATTAAGTCAGTTTTTCAATTTTATTACATTATTACAACAATGTTAAATAATAGCTACATATTAGCCTGGAAATGTATATTCTATCATTAACATAGAAAAGGTGAACTTAAAAGATTGTCTTGGCTAGCTCTGGGCTAGTGACAAGGCTCGATCGCCATTGTATGGCTTGCCTGCCTCAGCCTGTGTCGCAACATTAAAAATAGCAATACATTACCTGTACTGTACAGGGTAAAATGCATCTCTAAAATTTTATTGTGAAAACATTAACAATCATTGATACCGAATATTTTGCAATACAAAGGAATTAACTGATTTTATCCCACCCATCTGGATTTGATCAGACTGTTCACGCATCATCCATGCAGCAGCCAACAACTGGCTTAATTGTCGGTGCGGCACTAACTTGGAACACAATTATACAATGAACTTTTTATTTCATTTTAGATATATAAAATGCAGTACTGTACATCTTACCTGAATGTTACTCGAGATGTTAGACGCTCCAACAACTTCAGAAATATCGGAGCCCCGAATTCAACGACCTGGGTTTAGCCCGTATAGGTCGTTAAATCGGGTGGATACTAATCTGGCAATGGGGGAAAAATAAAACATTGCAGGTCCAGTGGTGCCCTGGTACATATGAGGCATGGACTATTTGGATGTAATTTTTCTGCATATTAACATTGAACCAAAATCCATTTGAGATGCAACTTGGAAAAGGGAGGTTAATAATTCAAAATCGAAATGATTAATGTAGTATAAAGTAAAATATAAAATATTTAATTATTTATATACAAGGTACAATGGGTTGTTAAAATACTGTACATGCAATGGTGATAAGTGGTACATTTTTTTGCAAAACCACTGACATGGACGGCACTTTTGCCAGGTGATAAGTACACTTGCATGTGTACACGGCCAAAAATGTGTAATGGTTTGGCCATCAGACTAGTACCTCTATATTATTACATTAACCTTCAAAGTGGTTACAGTACCACAAAAATGAGGTGAGAGAAAATATTTATCTTTCTTGGTTTGAGTTGTAGGCCAGGTGATGGCTAGCACATCTCTCGACGCAAGACGTGAGGTTAGTAGTACAGGAGAGAGGACTCGTGGTCATTACGAATATTTTTGTTCATCGGTTCACTTGTTAGTTTACACAATGCAGTGTTTGTTGAATGACTGTTTGTATACAGATGTGACTAAAATTTATTGAAGCACCATATATAGACCTAAAATATGACATCTGCACCCATTGTACAAAATGGAAACCGGTCCAGAGGTGTTGTGCAACCCACTCTTTATGTTGCAGTCCTGTCTGGGCTAAAGTGAACAATGAATTTTAATTATGCCGACGTATTATGATAAAAATATGTAGTTTTGATTTCTTTCTTGAGGAATGAACTAGTTTTTAAAGTTTCTATTATTTGTACGTGACAATTTCCAAAAATGAAACCCCTAAGAACCTTTATATAGATAAACCTTAAAAAGTAAGGGTCATCTGTGTCGAGAAATAAACAAAGGAATTATCAAATATAAACTATTGGTTTATATAAAGGGCTGATTATGTGTGAACAAATATTTTAAACATTTCAAAGTATATTTGCTACATTCTATACTTTAGCAAATATACTGAACCAAAGTGAATCCATAGGTCCATCTTGAGAGATGCCTATACCAGTCTTGATTCTAATATGGTGGTTGTTCATATGGTGCAGGTGATGAGTCACAATAATGTGGCTAAAGTATGTTGACCAGACCACACACTAGAAAGTGAAGGGACGACGATGTTTCGGTCCGTCCTGGACCATTTTCAAGTCACAATCGACTTGAGAATGGTCCAGGACGGACCGAAACGTCGTTGTCCCTTCACCTTCTAGTGTGTGGGGTCTGTTCATATGGTGTTTGCCTAGAGCAATGCCTAGTAAATTATCAAAACCCCACCCCTCTGGCATGCTTAGGTGGTTACATATTTCTAAATGCTAGAAACCTAGTGAATAAAAGAAAATTATTAATATAGAAAAGGTGGTTAAAAAATATATATTTAGGTTATTCCATTTAGGTAATTGTGTACTGTATTTGTTACATGTCCATGTGTATTTATGAATATTCTTTCAACAGAGATGGTGGAGGCAATGAAAATGGTAGCTTCAATGGACGTGGAGCTAACAGTAGAAGAGCGGAACCTTCTATCTGTAGCGTATAAGAATGTTATTGGTGCACGACGAGCTTCTTGGCGAATCATCTCTTCTATCGAGCAGAAAGAAGAGAACAAAGGCGGCGAGGAAAAGTTGGAGATGATCAGGAATTACAGGACGCAGGTTAGTTCTCGGTCCCTAATGTCTTGCCACGAGAGGAAAGGATTAACTTGTAAATTGTGAAGTACAGTAATTCAGACTTTTTGGATGAACTCTATTTGTTGGTTAAATAAGGCTGGGCTGTTGGATTTAATGCCTCGAATGAATAAATAATGGAATAGGAAAGCAGTTGGTTTAGCTAGGCTAAACTTTGTGGGGTTAAAGTTGTTAGAATTTTACGGATTTGGCATTTTAATAGCTTCAATAGTGTTGTTATTCACTGTTGAAGGCAACTTCAAATGTCTGTATGCAATTTATTTCTAATATCTGAACAAGTTCAACCATTTGGACCCCCTAACCATCACTTAATAATTTTGTAGCACTGTTTATAGAGGTTTAAAAAATTCTAATCAAATTAGATTGCTATCTAATGGCAATCTACAGATTGAAATACAAAGTCGTCAGTACTGATTGTGCTGAATAATAATTGTATAAATAATTTGGTATATCATTTTTTCTGTGGGGCAAATTGCAATATGCAATTTGCCTATTACATTATCTGCTTGCTTATTTCCAAATTTATTAGTTATTAACAGAACCAGTTTTATAATTAGATAGCAGTAAATTTTCTCTTTTGTGTACCATTCTATAAATACCAGAGATTTAAGAATGTCGAAATCGTCAGTTGTGTGGCTGTGTTTGCAACGCTTGGAGAGTGCAAGCTGTATTTAGACATTTTATATTGCGCTAACACTAAGATTGACTTTAACACTTCTCATGTTGGACATTGCACCTGGATACCTTGTGCCTTGATTTGAACATGAATGTTAATTATATTTTATGAAGAGCAACCTGTGAACCAGGGGAATAATGTCATTCCAGGCTTGTTATACCAATAGAACATTTGTCCAGGAAATTCATGCAACAGAAAAATGGGCACATATGGAGTGACCATATTGCAACTTCTCCGGGGCCCACTAAATGGCACTGAAATAGTTGCAACATATACCAGTTGGTTAACATGAACATTTTGAGATGGTCAGACTAACATGAATGATTAGAAAAGTTTAGTCATTTTGTGAATGTTAAGAGTTGAAGTTGACAGAGCATAGTTCACATTGTTAAGGAGCTAGGTATTGAGATTGATGTGTAAGTGGGGTAGGACCCCTGGAATTTTGTATTTGTAAAGAAATATAAAGTACTATCAGCACCAGCACGTAAATTGGAGAAAAAGGTTGGATACAGGCATGTTACAAATTTCTGGATTTGCATGGAGATCTCATAAAATGAGAGTGGGGAATAAGTTAGTCGGACAATGGATATTACATTTCCTGTCAAACAATGCAGAGAGTAAGTAAATAGAATGAAATAGTCCAAGCAAGTAAAAGGCTCTGAACCACAAGGTACAGTTCCTGCACCTCCTTACTTTCTCATTCTCATATCAGATGGACAAAATTAAGTCAGCTCTGGGTCTCCCTTTGCAGAAGATACAGCATCCTCATGATAATTTCTACTGTAGATGTTGAAAAATTACAAGCAGTTACCAACAGTCTTCACTTGTGTAACAGAAAATAATGTTTTTAATGATAAATTCCAGATAGTTGGGTTATGTTAAAAATAAGAAAAATACAGGTATTAGCACAATCAGATCTCATTGAATTACAACATTTTAAAGGATCAGGAAGTAATGTCAGACAACCTGTTTATCACCCAGGTATATGATAGGATGATTTATGATGAACTTCAAATCCAGGGATTCCACCACAATGCTGCTCCTATTCAAGTCTCTTGTGCTTTTCAACCTTGAGTACTACCATGTACTCGTTTGGCTTTTTCAGAGCAGGAGAGATTCCTGAAATAGAGAATACTGAGAACATGTATGACATGCATAGAAAAGATAAAAGCACCTAAATTATTGGGACAGTTTCAACTCTTAAGTATATTAGAGTATGAGATGTATCACATGGAAGATACTAGGCCAGGCCCCAAGATTTTACTGGAGTGATATGGTAGGGAATTTAGAATGGAGCAAATGAGTAGAGGTGATATTGGCACAATCAGGACACTGCGTGGACATCAAAGATACATGAACATTAAATATTCTCCTAGCAAACATAAGTAACACTACTGGAAGAAAAGGGGCACTGTTTACAAAATAATTCAGCATATTTTGCAATAATTTTGAGGCATCCTCCAATTGGTCATATTTCCAGTAGGACTGGGTTTCATTTTATCAGGATTTCGCAATACATTTCTGAATTTGTATGGAAATTGACATGCAGAAGCTAGTTTAATCAAAATAAATTTAATTTTTAGATTGATTTGGAAATGGAAATTTTTATTTAATAAAATTTTTTCCCAGGTTGAAAAAGAGCTAAAGGATATTTGCTCTGATATTTTGGGTCTCTTGGACAAGCATCTGATTCCTACTGCCTCTGCCGGAGAGAGTCGTGTATTTTTCTACAAGATGAAGGGGGATTACCACAGGTGAGTAGAAAGCCAACTTTGCTGTATTTTATGTTGACATAGATCCTTGTACCAATTTGTAGGTCCTTTTCTTTGTACAATTAGCCTGTACCTTTTTCTTTACCATCACAATGCTATTTACAACAGGAACCTGTTATAACCTTGAGTATGAATAAGGTCATAATTTTTCTCTTGCATCAAAATTGTTACATTTAGGAAAAGCTTGGGTTCTTGGTCATTCTGAATGCATGCATAAATTATTATACATGGCAAGGAGACTGGGTTTTTAGATTTTACTGCAATCTTCTCTGTGCAATTACGTATTAAAACCTTTTGAGTCGTTCTATTCTCATCTTGGAAGGGTTTTGTCATAACTGTTTCCATATTACTATAAAATCCTCAAAATGGAAATGGAAAATCTGTTGCTCGGAATGACAAGTCGCTTCATGGATTAGAAAGTGCAAATTTGAAACATTTTGAAAAAAAGATTGCTTAAAGGTGTTGATACCAATTTGAAATATCACAGTTTGGATTAATGTGATTAGGCCTCTTATGGTGTATGCTAGCAAAATTGTTTTAGGGTTTGGATTATTTCACATATTTTGGAAGAGTTTTTGAGGAAACTTGTTTTGAGATGAATATTTTGGGGATTAATGGTTCATCAAAGTAATGAAGGTTAATGAGCTTTTGAATTTCTTCCATAGCTTACTACAGAAAAATTTGGTATTTTTTCTATCGGTTAAATTTGCAGTAGTATTACCAATACTTGTCACAGTATGTGCTTGTGTATTGCATTATTAATGGAATTACTATGCAAGGGTTATGTGCATTTTAAGTTTGCCAGTTTACCATATGCTGCTAATATTGGTTTATATTTTGCTCAAAGTAATAGTACTTTTATTCACTTTTGTCTTTGCAATTTTTGTAATTGCATGCCCCCTATTTTGATTTTGGCATAGCTACCTTCTGGAATATCTCTTCATCCATCTTCCTTACCTTGCCTATTAGTGTACAGTACTTTAATTCTTGGTAACCATTTTCCAGTCTATTCCTGTAGTTCAGTGCTATAAGAAGACCACAAGTCGCCTTCAGTTCTTAATCATAGTCACTGTCTTGCAAAAAAAAAAGTATTCATTTAGGAAGGTTACTCACAGAAATTGTTGTAGCATTTAACCTTTAAGGACACAGCTTGCCCTGTCTCCAGTCTAAATATATCATTAAGAACTATGACCCTCTTGTTTTCTGTAAGATATTCCCAGTTCAGTGCATTTCCAATTATCCCAGTATGTCCGTGTTTCACTTTTAGAAACCTTATCAAATGCTTCACATCTAACACATCTCTCTTAGCCAGGCCCACACTAAATTTAAATATATATATATAAAGGGAAATGTAAACAGTTCAATATCCATGTTGGTGACATTTGCTGTTGATAAATATGGTCACCAAAAAAAAGGGTAAAATAAATGAATGTCTGTGTGTGTGTGTGTGTGTAATGTATTATATATATAATGTATGTGTGCGTACTGGTAACTTCGTATGAAGTTATAGCTTGATTAAAGAGAGATTTTGTCGGCAGCCTTGTGTGGTATTGATCAGAATCTACCTCGTATGAGAGCAGTGCGTGTTGTCTCCCCCCCCTCCCCCCCCCCTTCCCCCCCTCCCCCAAGGCTGTTAAGGTACCAAAGCAACTAGTCTCTGAACTTGGGGGGGGGGGGGGATAAACTGCAATACTTTTACCATTTACTCAGAAAATTCATCCTTGTAAATTTTGGCAGATTATTTTGGACGCTATTAATGCCTTTCCTTTTCGTATTTTCTTGCTGCCTTTCATCTATTAATTATGTATTCTATTACTGTATATACAAATACTAGTGTAAAAGTTTGCTAAATATGACTTTAAATATTTTTTACACTTTTGGTGGGGGGAAGTTTCTTATTTAATTTTAAAAAGTAAAAGTATATCTTAAACTATAATAAATAGGGATAGTGAGGCTAGTGAGGAGAAATGTGTGCATGCACGTAACACGGGTAATGAGCAGTACTGCTTGGAAGCACTTTCATTGTGGGAATGAATGTTTGAAATAACTCTTGCAGTACTTGACCTGCTGCCGAGAACTGTAGTAATACTTCACTAGGTAATGTAATAATCAGAAGGGACAAAGTCATTACAACTATACAACACTTGGATTAGGATTTAGGATAGGAATGGTGCTCAACCTCTTGGATGATCGGGGGGATTGAACGCCAACTTGCAAGAAGGGAAACAAGTGTAATAGGTAATGCAGCTGCACTGTTTGGAGAAGATTCACTATCTTTCAACAGTGATAGTATGGTTGATGGGGATTCCTCCCTTGGCACCAGAGTATGCCTTGACCTTTACAAGTATTGCCTTTGTCGCAAAAGTACATAAGCATATCAATGTGTAAATGTTCTGCCCAACTACAGAACTTTGGCTTAATTAATGCTAATTGGAGAATTTACCTCTCCTTCATGAGACTACTTTGGTGTAATTGCTGTGTAATAGATTCTTGCAGTCATTGTTGAATTGTAGTATGAGATTTGCCGTGAGTAAGCTTCTGTCTGGAGCTCTCCTTGGGAGGGTCTCAAAGTTCTAATACTCTCCGAGCCAGTCCCGAGGCCAGGTTCGTCTTGTGATAACTTGGTTCAGCAGGCTGTTGCTTGCCCACATGGCCACTACAGCCCGGTTGGTCACTTGCAAGAACTTGATGAATTTGTTCTTGAAGTCCACCTTTGTTCCAGCAATATTTCTAATGCTTGCTGGGAGAGTATTGATCAGTTGCTGGACCTCTGATGTTCAAACTGTTCTCACAGCTTGTGCCTATGGCCACTAGCCACCTGTGGGGTTTAGGTTTGATTTGACTTCGTGTCATCCTTCTGTCGACATGTATGGGTAAAATGGGTTGGAAGCCATTTGGTATTGGATACTACATTCAAAACTGGGATGTTCAACTGTTTCATTTTGCTTATATAGTATATATATAATTTTCCCTATTTGAATAGATCATACTTGTACCCAATAGTTTTTATATTCTTGACTTAACATATGATGGATGGTATACTGAATGGTGGTCTTGTAATCCACCCTTTATACCCAGTTGCTATCAAGGTAACCGAGACGTTCCTGAAATCTTGTCGTGTCGAAGCTTTTGGGATACGACTAACTAAAGCCAGTTACAGTATTTGTTTGTTACATATTTACTGGGGTGAATTAATTTGAATCTGGTTAGAAAAATATGCAGTTATTTTGACATGTTTCATCCATTGGTAATAAAATTGTGCCTAATTTATGCAGCAGTACTAAATGTACTTAAAATTCCTCCATAGCTTTTTTCACTAAGTAGTGGTGTGTATGGTGTGAATAAATTAGGAGGAAATAGTACATTGTTTTCTTGCTTTGTTTACTGTATTCCCCCATCCTTCACCAGAATAGACTAACTTCCTGCACAGTCATTTCCTCTCTCGTATACAACCTGCAGCTCTTCAAGTGGAGGCCATACAGACATCTTAATCCTTTAATATTTCACATAAATTCAAAATCAAATTCTGTTGGAATATATGGTAGGGCCAGTATTGTGATCACTGTGGCATGGTAACTACTACAGTTCTGTGATGTTGAAAATGTACTTTTTATCTCCTTGCATTAAAAACTATTACACATGTGTACACTGAACTGATACCGATGTATTTCTCGACCTCTTTTGCGGGTGTGCGCATTTTTTTTTTTTTTTTTTTTTTGGGCATTGGTATCTAAATAGCTTTTCATTTTCTTTGCAGGTATCTTGCCGAATTTGCTACGAGTAATGACAGGAAGGCAGCTGCCGAAAATTCCCTGGTAGCTTACAAGGCTGCCAGTGATATTGCTATGACAGAACTGCCACCCACACATCCTATCAGGTACATATTTGCATTTTCTTACTGACTTTGTTAGTAAAGATTTAACTGATTAATAAATTTGATTGATATTTATCACAATTTATTGGATGGTATTATGGATTTGTTAGTTTTGTGGTGGGGGAGGATATTTGAGGTGCTGCACATACAGTTAGCTCCTCTGACCAGTATCTACACGTAGACTAATTCAGATGTATGTATGCTGTCAGTCTAAATGGCTCCAGACACCACACCCATATCATTGTACTGCACTACAGTACTGGCATGGAGTCTTTCATCTCTAAATGCACAAAGGAGAAATTGACAACACTAGAACTTATTACAAAGCTAGTCCTAAAATTTGTGTTGTATGAGAAGACACATGAACAGAATTCAATTTAATTCTCACTGGAAGACGCGAGACTGAGGTTACTCAATCCATTTTTCCCATTTAACTACCTTACCATGGTGCAAAATGTAGGTGTAAAATGATTGATCATCCTTGTTATAAAAAAAAACCCTAGTTTGTCGGTGGAATGATTTGTTAATTTATAAATAATGTTTAATGATTTTAATCTAATTATATGTATTGTTATTGCATTGTGGTATGTTCTGATTTTTTTTATTTGTCAACAGGTTGGGTCTTGCTCTGAATTTCTCAGTTTTCTATTACGAGATCTTGAATAGTCCAGAACGGGCATGCCGCCTGGCGAAGGCTGCATTTGATGATGCAATTGCAGAGTTGGACACATTATCAGAGGAGAGTTACAAGGATTCCACCCTTATAATGCAGCTGTTGCGAGATAACCTCACGTTATGGACCTCAGACATGCAGGGAGAAAGTGAGTTTAAATTTCTAGTCTGAAATCATTATGAATCTTTAAATTTTTATGATCAAATTTAAGCTTCATGTCTGTATGAACAGCCTATGGCTGCTGGTATAAGCAAAAGGAAAAACTTTTATCTTCATTTCAGGTGGAGATGGTGATCAGAGAGAGAAAGAACAGGTGCAGGATGTGGAGGATCAGGATGTAAGCTAATGTGGTAGTGGCGGCGGTGGCCCCTTCACCTCTCCACCACCACCACCACCCTTCTCTTACTCTTCCTCCTACCACCACCACTACCACCACCACCCCTTCCCACAGTGGAGCTCCAGTACCAACAACATGTCTCTCCAACACTGCCAAAGATGTCTACATCACGTACACAATTTTGCAACAGAAAAAAATACCAGAGTGCTTTTTCAGGAAGTACTAGTAGAACTGCAGTTAACAGGGAAAGGGATGGGTTTTGTGTGCATTAAATAGTTTCGATAACATGCCTATGGTTGCTGCTCATCACTGAGGTATAAATTTAGCATGCTTTAACCTAACATGGTAACCAGTTGTATATTTAGATGTATTTGCTATGTCAAGGATAAAAATCTCCAGTCTGGTGTGGACACTTTGGTTGCGTTTTCTGTGCAAAGTGAATTTATTAACAACGGAGCTCTGCTGTGATGATGGGAAAGGACTTGGCACCATCATTCCAATCCTTCGTCCTAAGTTTGGGATTTTCATCACGTTCTTTGTGTTTGAAAAGATCCATTGCATCATTTGTTGTGTATTTATTATTGATATTGGTACGTGATAAATTTAAATATTAGGTAGGTTAATTCTTTTTTAATGCTATGATTTTTCTTGTATATTTTCATAAGGTCTTAAATTAAGACCATTTCTGTTAATCCCTCTTTGGTGTTCGGTGTCTTAAGTGGACATTTATGTTCCCCAGCTCAATGTTTACTTATGGCCCGGGGCGAGCAAGTTGGGTAACCAAGATCCAGCTTAACCAGCCTTTTTCCCCACCCCAGCCCCCAAAACTCCCACCCAGTTGGGGCTCTATATCCTCAATATTATCCTGAGGCCAGCATTTCCTCTCTAGCATTGGGTCGTTTGCATTTTCTTGAAAATTTTTTGTACCATGCAATCTCTCCGTACAGTGTGAATGAGCTAAAGCGCATCTTGGCACTTATTTTCTTGCTTGGGGAATTAGCACAGTTAAGTTGATGGAATCTTCTTTTAATCGTTTGTCTGTCAGTCCAAGTTGTCTTGTTGTTCTAACCGTTTATATATCATTGCTGAACATGTTCATTAGGAAGAAGTTTGTGGCCCATTTTGCTGTGGTGTTTGCAGAAATCTAGCTCGCTTGAAATGGCTGCAATAGAGATGTTGAGGCCTTTTGCAAGCAGCTAGGCAAAGATGAGACTGGGGTCATTCTGCATTGACTAGTAGATAAACTTCACCTTAAGGCTTAAGAGCTGTATGTAGAGCATCCCTAGATCGGCAGTCTTGCCCCAGACATCTTTGTTTCAAAGAACTCCCGAGTTGCATCATTTAGTGTTTACAAAGTAGTTTGTGCTTCAGTGCACTCGTGCTTTTCCCCAGCTGTGTGTGATTGAGGTCACAAAAACTGACTGACCAGAAGAGTAATGAGCCTTTTCTAGAGCATTGTAAAAGGTCCTATTACTTTGCATGAGCACCATTTTTGGGCTTGGTGCCTGATAGTCACAACTAGACAGGAGCCCAAGAAATGAACAGGCAAGTTTTGCATTTATAAAAGTGTTCCATTGCTGGTGGTGCAGAGAAGGCACTATCAGAGTAAATAAGCTCATGTTAGTTTATGACCACTGGAGTGAATGTCTTAATTTTTTTTTTATCTTGTAAGGAATATCACCACTGATCAGTCTTGTTAAGAATCCAGCCAGCCTATAGGTTTAGTTCCATCTTATCTCGGTATTTTGTTGATCGCTTGGTGCTGCCTATTGTTGCAAAGAATTCAATAAAACTTCCCCATTGTTGCAGCTAGGGCATTTGAATAAGAGCCACTTGTTTGATGTAATTCTTTCATTTTTTGGATAGGCACAGGTCATTTCCAAGTTGCCCAGGTTTAATGTACCATCTAAGATGGCCAAAATGACCTGAAGTACCTACAACATAAGAGCACTGATTTGACAAGATTTTTCCAGTTCACTAGTCTCATAGGATGTAATGTATAATCTTAAAAATGAAATTGTTTTTGAAAAAAGATGTAGTGAGCATTCTATTCATTCCAAAGTTTGCTCACTAGTTGGAAGGTGTTTGTGGGTTGGTGGTAGATAGTGTTGACAAGTTCCCCCTCTCCTCCCTTTTCCTGCTCACTACTTTTCCTTCCATTGAGGGGAGCTTGTTTCTCCTGGTAACTCTCTGGATGAGAAGAGAAAAGGTGTTGAACATTATCTTCTACCTTGCCCACCGAGCCATTTAACTAGCTCAAAGTTCCCCCCCCTCCATTCACACCTCTCCTTCCCTCACCATCCCTGGCCCTTCATTTTGTGTGGGTCACTCCTAGTTGCTGGTACAGTAGGCTATGCTTAGCCCTTCCTGGCTTCTTCCGTGTCTAGTATTTGTGTCGCAACTGGGGAAAATTGACCCGGGTGCAAAACTTGCCTAAGCTCGGAGTCGCTTGTTGCGTCACATCTTGTGCTTTGTCATTTGAATGATCACAACTATCCATTTTAATATCTACATTGTCAGTGAACGGAGGAATTGTTACTTCTTGATCATTAAAGGTGGATATTGTGTGTGGTGTCCATAAGGTTACCACTTTTATAAGGTTGGTGGAATCTTGAGAGGTCAGTCATTTTGAGCTTCTATTGGTGCTTCAATAAGGCTCTTTTATTTTCAATATCTTGAGGGAACAATTCTTATTGATGTACTTTATTTAGAAGAGCTCTCAGTTACTGACCGCATTACTTGTTTTGACCCAAGACATTCCAGAGAGCATTTTCATAGTGGAATACCTAAATGAGCAACCAAGCGATCACATCTCGGGCCTAATCGTGCTACCGCTGCCAGCAGATGGCTATCGGTGATTAGCACACTTACAGTTCTTGGTGCTAGCAGAAACGATGCCTGTTCAGGCTCTCGTGTGGCAATAAAAAAAAAATAAAATTTTCAGCTGGCACAGGTGCAGCTTCTCAAATTCACGTAGGTTACAAATAATGAAAAAGGAGCATTTTGTGTACAGAGTAACTAAAAGGATCTGTGCTGGCATATTCATTCTGTAGAGGCTTTTAGGTAGGGTTGGCTAAGTTTGTGGCCAGTCATTTGTGTAGTAACCTAGGAAAGTTTTACCTTTGCAAATTGGGTGTGGGTTTAGTTTCCAGGTTTGGCACGAATGTCGGGCAGAAAATGGACAGTGTAGTAGACTTGCAAAACACGAGCCACAACAGTAGCTGTCAATACAGTCCACAATTGGTATGACCATGTGTTGTATTTTTTACTACAATACTACTCATTATACATGCTAAACACCAAGAGATGTGGTTCTTGCTAGAATGTGCCCCTCTATGTAAATACCAAATTGTGATAGGCAAAGCACATGTGTCATTGCACTTGCATGTCAAAAGTGTTTGATTAAACCTCATATTCTCTATAATGATTATTACTTATCCCCATTTTTTGATTGTTTGCTGATGATCTTTCATGGAGTTGCTTTAATTAAAATTGTTACCAGTAGTTACCATGTGTTGGAGCCAGTATACAAGATCGGTTAAATCTTTATTAGCACTTTACCTGCATGATATTTGGGAATAACAATTTGTGAAATCCTAGATCTTTCAAAATGTTGAACTATTATTATTCTAAAGTAGATTGTAGTGGCAGGAATACTGACACTTGTGCAGAATGTAAACATTGTGAAAGTGGTAATGCAGTTTTGTCTTATCTTTTCGAGCTATACAAGTGAATTAAGGGCATGACAAAGAATAAATCTTCCCTCGTGTGGAGGGAGACTTTCTGTAGAATCTCGAGCATTTTATTATACAGCTTCTATAACAGTATGTGATGTCTGTCTTCTATTGCTACTAGTTGATGACCCCGATGTGTTTCTTTTGTCACGTGGAATTCGTTGTTGACAGCTCGACATTAACTGTTGTGTTGCTTAGAATTATTTCTACAGTTCCTTGTTTATAATGGAGCAATTTTTTCTAGTTTACCTCTTTAGTTTTATCACTACACATGCACCAAGAAATAATTTTAGGCACACTCCATACCATTTATAACCACCCTAACAACAGATTGTAAGCCCATGGAAGTTTTTATTTCATCAATATATACATTTTTTAACGTGTCCCTGGGCTTGTTACTGTCTCCCTCCCTCTGTACCTTTGTATAAGTTTTCATTTTGATCCATTTTTTTTATATAGCACATGATAGGCAGTAATGAGTACTTTTGATGGAGTTGGCTTCTAGACAGTGTATTCCCGGGGGTTTAATGGATGTATCCTGACTTCCTTGATCTTTACACACCTCAATTTCACATTTGTGTATAAAATGTCTTTAACGTTAAATAATGGTCTCAATTAACCTTTCTGTAACTTCTGGAGATATTTATTCTGAACTTGTGATGGCAAACACCTATGTAGTTAATTTTATAATGGAACTGACTGGCCTGTAGAGTTGAGGCAAGTATTATGCCGATTGTATTTTATGTTGGTTACCATTTGATGCGAGATTCTACATATGAATTGGTTACTAAATGAGTGTACATAAAATACAAGGTTGTGAATAATGTTCCTGCTGGAAACTGATCACATTGGGAAAATGACCAATTGTTCTCGAGAACTAACTGATGTTGCAGTTCAGCAGAATGTTCTTTTTAGAGTTGTCACACAAGACAAAACGGTGTACTAAACTGCCCAAACCTAGCCAACTGATGGACCCACGCATAGAAAATGTGAATACAGTATTTGCTTGCCACAACATTTTATCCGTTGGGGATTTTGATGACAATGTTGTGTATTATTCGAGAGGACATTGAATGGAGAGCCCTTCAGAGAAACGCTAAATGAAACAATTTTTTGTTCAGTGGTCTAGTAACAGTAATATGTACCGCACATACTACACTTAACAGAATTTTCATCATATTAAAGCTGTTCCTCTAGCTGGAGAGAGAAAGCTGTTGCTAGCACATTGACTACTCTGTGGTTGATCTAAATAATCCCCAGGTAACTTCTAAAATTGTAGCAGTTACTTACTTCATATTAAATCCAAATGTTGAGCATAGTTGTTAGGTTGCTAAGTAACATACAGCAGCTGGTTTTAAAAAAAAAGTGCACTAAAATAAGTAATAACTTACGAAAAAATTGTTTACAACAATTGGTTACTTGTATAGATAAAAAGTGGTAGACTTTTCCTGCTCAAGTGATGACCCATCCCACGCTGTGAACTCGGTGTTTGACATCTCGTGTCAGTTATTTTATTTACTTTAATACGTACCTTTTGGTTCATTTTTAGTAAAAAAAAAAAAAAAATTAGGCACCGAATTAAATTGGTGCTATAACTAGAGATTCAGAGCATTAATTATAGCACTGGGGAAAGGAGAGGCTGTGGCTGGTACAACACATGGTAATGACATTACCTTACCAGAAGCATTGATCATGCTTCCAACACTAGATTCAGATTTTTGAAGTTCATTCTCATAAGGGGCAAAGAATTCAGCATAAAGGTAAAAATATCAAGCCCTTGAAGTGTGCTTGTCCATTTCTTGGCTGACCCAAAGGGAATGCTCGTCAATTTTAATTTACAGGACTAAATTGAAAACCAATTTTCTGAAACAAATAAAAAAAAATTTGGTGTTAGTCTGTTGGCAATTGGTTGCAATTCATCTTGAGGTTATCTTGAAATGATTTCGGGGCTTTAGTGTCCCCGCGGCCCGGTCCTCGACCAGGCCTCCACCCCCAGGAAGCAGCCCATGACAGCTGACTAACACCCAGGTACCTATTTTACTGCTAGGTAACAGGGGCATAGGGTGAAAGAAACTTTGCCCATTGTTTCTCGCTGGTGCCCGGGATCGAACCCGGGACCACAAGTCCAGCGTGTTGTCCGCTGGGCCGACCGGCTCTCCGGGAGCTGGTCGGAAATACCCGTGTATTTCACCCATGAAATACTGCATGGGTGAAGTATTTATAGAGGTGTGCTTCAAACGTTGTCAGTATTGTAGCGCTTTTATTCAAGAACGGGGTTTGGCAGCCAGGTTAGTGGTCATTTGGCGCCTCCCCTCCACCTTTAGGATGGGCCGCAAAACAAGACTATTTTGATGAGATCTGAATGCCAAACCCCTTCAACTAGCTGAGCAGTTACAGTAATTTAGGATACCGATTTTTTTTTGGTAATTTAGGATTAATGTACAAAGCCAATGAAGAGTAGAGGTGCCATTGGCACAAGAGAACACTGTAAAACATCAGTAGTCCAATGGCTGTCCAATATCCTCCCAGCAAGTATAAGGAATATTGTTGGAACAAAACGGACTTCAAGAAAAGTGTTTCCTGGAAGAAGTGCCGGACTAACTAGTAGATGTGTGGACTTGTTGGCCACTCTGAGCAACAGTGACCAAGCTCTAACAAGTCAAGTGTGGGCACAACTCTTGGAACCCACTCCAGGTAAGAGCCAGGTATAGTATATCTCAGTGTGCTTATTGTCCTGTATTGCATGTAGTATTCCAGTCCGAGGCTGATACAACTGCTTTCAACTACCAACGTTAAAAAAATATAGCTCTTTCTATAAAGGTGGTTTTAACTTTAAATTGAAATTCATTAGTGTCTTGAATCCAAGTCACTGATGGCTGGGCTGCTGTATTTATGCTTCAGCATCTTTCCATGTTTACTGTATGTGGAGTCACTGTTGATCTCTCTTACTCTATATCCCAGGGGCTGCAATTCCTGGAGGAACAAGATACTTCTTTGGTTAGGGATTGAGGAGGTAAAGTGAGTACTTTCTACATTTACACTAAATCAGTTTATCAATTTCTTGAAGTGAGCATTGAGGGGGTTTGTACAGTACCTGTGGGAAGCCATGGTGTGCTATGGACTCTTGCATGCTGACCTGCCTACACTCCATGAGGTTCTTGTGTATTCATATACCTCGCTCAGTTGGATTAATAGGCAGGGGTATGAAATCCTTTTAGTTTCAATCTCTCCCTCTCACATACCCCTTTCCTACATACTGTGACTGGTGGGGTGGCAAAAGGCTCAATAATTACCTAGGTTTTGGCAATGTAAACATGATTGTAGGTCTGTATTTGCCACCAACCTGATTGAGGGATCACTTGTTTCCTGCCACTTTCCCCTGACCTTAGCTTTGATATACTGTAGTGTGTACACTTGGAAATTTGTTGGAAAAATTTCTGGTATAGTAATTGTAAAGGAAAATTGATTCTATATACAAACTATAATCTAGTCCATAGATGCAGTGCTTAGTGGAGGATCAACCAAAACCTTTGGTCTTTGTGCTATTTAAGAAAATTACATTCCCTTCAACACAGGCAATTTGGCCTGTGTTGAATTATGTTACGGCCCTCTCGGGTCGCAACTGGGTTCTTTCTCTGATGTTGTTAGAGGTAGGGTATCCGGCCCCAAGCTAATAGTGGCTTTCAAGGGATGTGATCCGTAACACAAGTAAATTAAAGTGGAAGGGAAATAAAGGCAAAAACTTAATAATATAATTATTACCGTCACCATAAATATAAAAAAGGTTACACAAAGGGGGGGGGGGTTAAACACTATTATGTACAACGTAGTCTTCTGAAGACGCGGAGTGTTCCACGGCGCTCGACGATGCTAAGGTCTTAGTCTTCTGGTGGCCTCACGACGAATCCTTCGATTCTCTCGAGTCTACCCTGGCCACAGGCCAGCCAAATCACAGTTCCACTGGGGGCACCGTCGTGGAGGCCTTCAACCACAAATCCAGCATGTAGCTGGCAGGTTCCAATCAGCAACGCTGGTTAGGCCACTCCACGATCGATACTAAGGTCGCGAGCCCTAGTCAGGAGCCTCGTGTGATCCCACAGGTCACTCTTCTCACTACAACACCCCAGTGGTTAAGCGTCTCCACCAGTCAGTCCCAGGTACAACAATCCCTCAACTGCCCCGTCACAGGCAGGTTAACACCACAGTGTTCATCTGGGGGGTGACTCACAGCTGCTGCAGCAAATACTTGGAGACAAGACGGCTGCCTTGGATAGACTGATCCAACTTCCATTACAGCCGTCCCAGGTCGACTCTAATCAGACACGTCATCAGTAACAGGGACACTCTAGGGCACCTCACTTACAGGCTTAGACACAAACGCCCGACGTATCCACTCCATAGATGGCGTTGCTGTCTAAGCTCCAGTATGTAAGTTAAGTATGGCAATTTAATTTCAATAATAAGAAACATTAATGAAGAAAGATTAAAAAAAGTTTAATTTACATTTTCTAGAAAGACAAGAGTAAGGGGTGACATGATTGTTATACTTTTATTTACTTGTATTCTTCAAAGTCAAATGTTTCAAATATATCAACACAATAATGGATATAATTACAATTATAGATTCAGGAAAGAGACCTGGTTTGGAGATAAGAATCTTGATTCATAAGAATTAAGGAAATTGCAG